AGTAGTAGTAGTAGTAGTAGTAAAAGTAGTAGTAGTGGTAGAATTAGTAGTAATAGCATTAGCAGTGAATCACTGGTACTGATAGCAGCGGTAGCAGCACTGATGGAATATATAAAACAGTATGTCATCAGGGAAAGTATTGTTGTCCATAGTCCTAGTATTAGCAGACCTACACTATTTTATCGCTGCTCTTACTGCTGCTACTACTACTACTACTACTACTGTTACTAGTACTACTACTACTACTACTACTACTACTACTACTACTGCCGCAACAACTGCGACTGCTACCATCTTTTAATCCTAACACCAGCAGCCTCATTAGTTCACCTCTAATCCTTTAGATCATCGTTTCCCGTCTAGGATTGAGACTGCGCGGTTACGGCTTAAGTTTAGGGTTAAGATTTCGGCATGGGTTACGGTTATGACTGCGAGTAAGGCTGTGTCTAGTGTTAATATTACTGACAAGCAAGTTCACGGTTGGCGACGCTAAGTCATTCTATTCCAGTATCACTCAAATGCTTCCTTATCGTCTGTTTTATTCCTTCTGCACAAATTCATCTGTGGCAGTTCGCGCCTCTTTACTCTCCGTCGCTTTGTCCCGCTGCCTTCCTGTCCGCCGCACACTCCCTGTTTGTCCGGCTGCTGGGACGCGCGAGGCTTCTCCCTAGCCTCGCGAGTTCTCGAACTCAGTCAACTCTATTCTCCGCTGATTGGCTGGCGGACACTGAGACAACGAAAAGCGCACACACGCGCTGGGTCTGAGCACCTCGAGAGCGAACAAAGGCAACACAACTTGCCTGGAGGGCGTGCTCGCGGCGGCTGCTTGCGGAACTTTGTGTGCTCACTTCCTCAGTGGTAAAGGTTGTCCAACCCAACCAGTCTTACCTGATTTTTGATTTGGGAGCCCTTGTCTTATCGAAGACACCGTTCTTCTTCTTCTTCTTCTTCTTCTTCTTCTTCTTCTTCTTCTTCTTCTTCTTCTTCTTCTTCTTCTTCTTCTTCTTCTTCTTCTTCTTCTTCTTCTTCTTATTCCTCTCCTCCTCCTCTTCCTCCTCCTCCTCCTCCTCCTCCTCCTCCTCCCCCTTCGTCTTCTTCTTCGTCTCCTCCCCCTCCTCCTCCCTCTCCTCCCCATCCCTCCTCCTCATCCCTCTCCTCCTCGTCATCCTCCTCCTACCTCCTCGAGCAGGAAAGGAGACTAGCGGAGCCTCGATACAACTAGCCCGATCCCTCTCTGAGACTTGAATACTTGCCTTTATTAACCTGTTTGCATTCTGTGAAGACGCTTCTCCAATCAGATGATGGCCCACAAAAAGCCTTGCCGTCGGTCATAAACCTGACGTTAAGCAAGCGCAGTGGCCTCTGAAGGCGAACTGCGCTAAGGAACCAACTATACCTCTCCTCCGGATAATAGGTAGAGCCCCAGGCCGAAGTTAGACCTGGTTGGACATACACCTGCGCGCAGATTTCTGCGAACCGTGTGGGAGCCACCCAGCCCTCTCACGAAGTTGACCTTGAAAGTTTTCTACAATGAAAAATATGAAACACAGATGGTAGAGGGGCGCTCACCGATAATTTCTTTGGAACTCACCCCTCCCGTTGTGTCTGCCCTCTCTCGAACTCAACCAGCAGCTGTACATTGGCGCGTAATATAGGCAGAATACTTTTACCAGTGAGAAAAAGAAGCATTTGAATAACCGTTTCTGGCTTATTAGCCGTCGACAGCCAGTCATACCCAACCCCGAAGTGTGGAACACCCGAGGCTCGAACTCGCGGCCTGTTAGTTAGAATGCCACGCCTCTAACCGCTGGGCCACGAATCCGTTGCCCTGTCGGTTTCGATCGGCCAGAAATGGCCATTCCAGTCTCCTTGAAGAAGGAGACACGATCGCCGGGACAAGAACTTTATTAGCTCAGGTGCGTATTTGCGCCGTGCCGACCATCTGTGCCCTTCCCAGTTTCCGGTCTTCTTGACTCTGTCTTGACACCAGGTGAGATAGAAGAGATTACGGTAACTGAAGCGCAGGTCCATTATCACTATGAACTAATTCACGCGCCAGTCAACTTCCCTGCCCTCACTCTGCTGTGGGGCACACGGCGGACATCGTCGGTCACTACTACTACTACTACTACTACTACTACTACTACTACTACTACTACTACTACTACTACTACTACTACAACTACTACTACTACCACTACTACTACTACTACTACTACTACTACTACTACTACTACTACTACTACTGCTGCTACTACTACTACTGCTGCTACTACTGCTACTACTGCTACTACTACTACTGCTACTACTACTACTATTACTATTACTACTACTACTACTATTACTATTACTACTACTACTACTACTACTATTACTACTACTACGCCTACTACTACTACTACTATTACTATTACTACCATTACTACTACTGCTCCTGCCAATGCTACTACTATTACTACTGCTACTACTGCTACTAGTACTACTACGACTACTGCCAATGCTACTATATTACTACTGCTACTACTACTATTACTACCGCTATTACTTCTACTACTACTACTACTACTACCACTACTACTACTACTACTACTACTGCCAATGCTACTATATTACTACTGCTACTACTAATATTACTACTGCTATTACTACTACTACCACTACTATTACTACTACTATTGCTACTACTAGTATTACTACCACTACTACTTCTACTACTACTACTACTACTACTACTACCATTACTAATACCACTACTACTATTACTACTACTGTTAGTCCTACTATTACTACTACTACTACTACTACTACTACCACTACTACTGCTGTTACTACTACTACTGCTACTACTACTACTACTACTGCTACTACTACTACTACTACTACTACTACTGCAGATACTGTTACTATCGCCACCGCTCAACAACTGCGACTGCTACTTCCGTCGTTGCCTCGTGACTTCTAGTGTTTCCTCCCTGCTAGAACGCCTGGGCGGCCAAAATGATTAGAAAGCAGACACTGTTCAGTAGGCGCATGCATACGTCTGGAGGCGTGTTCCGTTCCTTATTTCAAAGCGGTCGTTTCATAGAAGGCTCTAATCGATAAGTACAGTGTCGAGGTACCTGAGTAATTGGCCTCTGGCAATCTCGTCACATCACCTTTACTGTATCCCTTGTTTTAACGTGTCGGACACGGCGATGCATGTGATGTACTCCACTGTCAGGTCGTTGGACGTTTTGAATGTTAACTTTGTTCACCAACTGATTTTCCTTACTGCTCCTTTTACGTCGAGTTCTTAAAACGTCGTTTGTTAGTTCATGAGAACGTTATTATTGTCGTTATTTACGTTAGTACTTTAGCAGACCTGGGGAACACAACACCAGAAGTCGAGGAAGACTTAAAATCCTTTGTTGCATACCTACATACAGCTTTGACAAAACGCTTTCACGACAATTCCCATCTCGCAAACGATAAAGCCCACCGGTGGCCCAGAAGGGGACTGTTTCGTGAACACTGTCATAGCGAACTAGGCTTGCTATGCATCTACCCCACTCCCTCTTCTTACGTCTACCGTGCTCCGTTGCCATGAAAACCAGTGACGTAAATGATGGTGTTCCCACGAACTAAAGAACGATATCTCACGAGCCCTAAATATTAAGGGCAGTAAGTAAAACCTAATGGTGAATAATACAGATATTCAGAACCTAAAATGACTTCACGGCAGAGCACGACAACGCAGCATGCTAGCAAAGCGGGGTTGTGCAGCCGAGTTGTTTTCGTCAAGTTAAAACAAGCAGTTTGGTAAAAGAATACGGGACTAGATTGTCAAAAGTGAACTAGTCTGGTACCTCGCCACACCAGAGCCAAGTCGGGGGGGGGGGATTGTGACCGAAAAAGTCAAATAGTCCGTCTTCGCGGGCCACACACGACCCGGTGGCCTCCCCACACGTACCGGGCTTCATTCACGATGAAGCCTACGTCCAAGACGTATCACACGCATGCACGGACCAGGCGCAGCCCGGCAGATACACACCACTAACCAGTCTGGCCCTGTTTTGACCCTGCGCACCTACTGCTTAGTCCGTGCTGAGGGTACCAAATCAAAAATCCCCAAAACATCGCTTTATGGTAATCAAGAACCTGTTCACGTATCGGCTTCTACATGGAGGTTTTCGGCCAGTTATCATCCCACCCGGATGCATTGGTCACAAGCGCAAATATTGCCAATGAAGTCGGGCGTCTCCTGTGAAAATTGCAAGTACGCCTACAAACTCCGGTTAAAAGGCGTATATATTGAGTCTTTTTTTCATAGAAAAAAGTACCTTTCTGCCAAATCTGTCTTTGATGTAAGTGGACTGGGGGACCCACTACAGACAACATTTATTTAAATATTTGCGAAGCCCGAAGAAAGCGCAAAAAAACCGTTCGTATTTGCAAAATACTGATTCGTTTGACTGGAGGTGGATGGTCGAGTTCCAGCTGAACGCAGAGAAATGAAGACTGGTTGAGCACCGGGACAATTTGTCTGTTTTTTTGCGCCGTCGATATCGCGCGAGAATTTATTGTCAGAGGCGACAGCAGCAACAGTGCAAGCGATAATCAGAGGGACTATTGGTCAGTCAATGACCAATACCGCAAGTCTCGCGGCGACTGCCCAGGAATCTGTATACCGGCACTAGATCTATACGTCGACCGACCAAGTTATCATCCGCGGTCCAGGCTTCAATCAATTCTCGGCTTTCCCTGATGCAGCCGTGGGCAAACTGACCCTGTAAGTGCACATGCCAGACTGGACGAACTTTCAGAACGCGTAAACGCGAACAGAGCGGGGGGGGCGGCGAATTGACCCGACTGGCTAGCCACACCTTCAAAACAGGTCACGAGTTCAGCCTTGCAGCCACCATGATAATTATCCACGCCAGAACCAAGAAAAGACGAGAGGTGATTAAAGCGAGAACCTCGGACGGAGTTTCATTCAATTGATTTATCGGTCCGACGCCAGTATACGGAGCCCTGAGCATCTAGACCCGCAGCAATGGACGTTGATTTGCTCATCCCCTGATAACTGCTTGTTATCTCTGACTGTGGACTCCCGCACGAGTTCGGAAGATAAGAGGAGTAGACAAATGGCTTCGGTAATCGACTAGTCTTCTTTGTTCATCCGTTTGACTTTTTATGAGGGAAATATTTATGTCAAGTAAGCGTTTGACCCTCAGTGTTGTGGTTAGGTTCTCACTCGGTATCATAGGCCATATGAAGCGAGATATGTAATCATCGAATCGTACCGATGATGGGCAACGACTGTGAAAGGGCTGCCCTCGCCTGGCCCGTTGCACTCCTAGTGAGCTTCTTGTGTATTATAGGAAATCTTTTACTTCACAGTGAGTAATTTTGGGAAGAAATTGCTTCTCGTAAAAGGTACATAAAATGAGTCTTCCATGGGCAGTTTCTAGACAAAGTATCAAGCCCATTTAGACACCGAAAATCATTGTGGAAAATTTTACAAGTTAAGTTTTTATTCCAAGACTTACACGCCAAGATGTTGAAAGAGGCCTAAGGTGCTTCCCTACACTTACCAGTAACAAAACCCTTCCCGAGCAATTCTTACGTGGACGCATATTTAAAACAGTTGACTCCTTTTCAATATTTTCGCTACAACACTCTAGTGAGTGAGCCCACCACCCAAAACCCAGAAATACCAAAAGGGCGGGAAGAGCTTTTGGTAGGGCACGGTAGTGTAGACTCTCCCGTATTACGGTGGCCTTATTGCAGAAGCTTTAGCCAAGAGGCACCCTGGCTGCCACGACCTTCAGGCCAGGTCCCGGCTGGAAAGAGGTGGAGGCCAGTTGGGAGGATTGTTTATTCTGTACAGAATAACCGTAGAAGGGGTTAGAGAGAGAGAGAGAGAGAGAGAGAGAGAGAGAGAGAGAGAGAGAGAGAGAGAGAGAGAGAGAGAGAGAGAGTTAGCAGCCGAACGAGGGCATGTCCAGGGCAGGGAGAGCGGCTTCCCCTGCGTCCTCCAGGGGAATGCGTCACAGCACCTTAAGCCAGGCCACGTCTGGCTCGGCCTTGAATATGATTGGCCAGTTGGAAAATCGAGCGGGCGAACGCCAGACAGCCCTGCTGCGCACTTGCAGACACGCGCGAGAGGCCCAGCGTTGCGGCAGGCGCTCGGAGTATAGCCACTACGGCCTTGCACCAAGTTCCAGGAGTGAAGGCCAAGGGAGTAAGGACCAAGGTTGGGTTTATGAGAGCTAGTGTTAGGATTAGGGTCGGAATGGTTAGTTTTAAGATCAAAATTAGTCTGGACACGAACATAAGTACCCCCTCCTCTGGAATGTAGCGCACGGACATCTATAATGTGCGGGGGGTTCTTATCTCCGTGTCCAACCCAGATTTATGAGCTGTTAGTTCCAAAAATGCGCTAACATGGGGTGAGAAGCCGAACGTCGATGTCAGCGCTAGGGGCCGTCGTCGTCTCAAAAGCGACCGGTTTAACTTGAGTAGGGTGACCTTGACATACACGATAGAATCATCGTTGTACTAGTCTGAACTTTTGACCCCCACAATGGTTAATCTCCTGACACGGGGAAAGCAACTATGAGTAAGCGGCGTACATAACATCTCACGACACGTCAGCCACAAATGAACCTGTCAAAAGGCGGTCGCAGTGACGCGACGTCAGGTAGGTTAGGGAGCGGGGAGGGGTCGACTTCATGCACCAGCTTAAAACATTTTGCTCCACTAACTCTCAGGCCGTTTCGATGCAATTTCGTGTCCATGGGACAGACTTCTTGGCCTGCCTCCAGGGCGTGGCCAGACACTTGGAACGGAACGTCTCTCCTTCACACCGCCGGGTTGTGTTCGAGCATAGGCGCACAGGATTATCCTGCGACCTGGTGCACAAACTCAAAGGAGCGATTGGAAGCTGGGGTAAGATAAATAATATCAGATTGGCGCCGTCTGTGTCTAACTGGTATTTGAGCTGCGTCGTTCCCCTGCGCACGAAAGTTCTGGCCGATGAACCAGATCAGGAGTTACTCCAATGGCAATGCATTTAGTGCTCCTGGAATGCTTGTAGGCTAGTGGAACAGACTGTCACTATCTCGTCGTACGTCTTCCTCGTTGGGTGCGTATTTAGGCAACGGTTTGTGAAGGCATGAGGATAGTCCTCCTTTGCAAACGATTGCATTGATACCAAACCGCCGATGCTCGCTAGTATGGTCAGCCTGACCCTACAATAATTCAACCTTAAGTTTTCCTACCTTAGGCCGCTGTAACACATTCCAAAATGGCAGAAGGGGTGACAACAGGTATTTGAGTTGCTTAATTTGCCCCCAAACGGGCCACATGAAAGATGCGCTGGACCAACACGGGGCCAAACCGGATTCTGGCGGACATCATAACAAATGTGAACATTCCGGGGTGGGGTGGCAGACCCGGTTGCCGGCAGACGTCGCGCACAGTGGGGACCCCTACC